GTCGAACGAAGAGCCCGACACTTCGAAAGCCTGCACATGTAAAAGGCAGCTGATAAGAGGATGACCCACGAGCTTGAGGTGTAGCCATCTTCTAAATCTAGTTCAATCCTTCTTCAATCATGAAACCATGCACAACAATGCCTTATAGGCATTGAGGGGAGAACCGAAAGAAAAAGACTAGAGGCCAAATCATAGCTACCCGAAATCAAAGGTTTAAGACCAAGGCAACTTCCAAGGCTCATTAACAAAAGGCACACTATTAGCCAAACTAAAGATACACGAGTATAACACATGCCTCAAAGGCAAATGAAGCTCTAAGGCTAAAGAAAAACAAGAAGAGCAATCTAAAAATCAAGAAGATATCATGCCAGTATCCATTTCATGATATCCAAAGCCAATCATTAACAAACTAAAATCAAACAATAGTAAAATAGGATTGAGAAAGGCGCAAAATCCCAAATTGGGTTTCCAAAATAGAAACCTCAAAAACAAAGGAGGATGACATGAAAAGAGATTTAGAGTAATAAAACAAGGAGGAGAGCCAAAGAAAAAGCAAAACATGACTGATAACTCTCTCTTTTGTGTTATTATTAATATATTTTTTTTTATATTTTGGGAGTCATCAATGAAAAAGAAAAAAAATTTTCTTACTTTTATAAAGAAAAATTAACTAAACACTTTATGTGAATTTATTGTAATATTTGTAAGAAAATTATTTAAAATAATAAAAATTAAAGTAAGCAAAAATTTTGCTCATATTTATTAATTGTGAATAAGTAGGGCATGATAATATTAAAGGAAGAAAGAAAAAGAAGACAAGAAAAATGTAATTTTCAATCCAAAACACAAAAGTAAAGGTTCTTGCGTACTGTTAGAAGTTTCATAATTTCTCACTGGTGCCATGGGACCAGACAAAAATGTAGAAACGTACAGTTTCATTTTCTGTATAAAATTAACTATATAACTCGTTTTTCTAGATTAGAGGAGGCATTTTTCAACTGCTGCAACTTGAAAAAACCCTAAAAGAGCAAGAGGAGAAGTCTTAAAGCTTGGGATTAAAAAGAAGTGGAGCAAATCTTTATTTTACCTCATTTTTTCAGTGTTTTCTCTCCTTCTTTTCCTCTATGATGATAGTTTCAAGTCTTTTGTGTGTTATTTATATGTTTATATTAGTCATGTGTAGCTAAATCTTCTTATTCTAGAGGACTATAAACCTATTTGTGTAAATAACTTTGGATTTACCATTTAGTTGTTGAGAAATAAAGTTTTAATTACTTGTTCTTGAGCTATATTGTTTTTGTTTAGTGATTGGCTACCAGTAGGTGAGATTTAAACATTTGGGTTAAACCTTAAAAGAGGATACTTAAATCGAACCTTGAGAACTAATAGCCTAGGATTAGTTTAACTAATTTGCCATTAGAATAAGAATATATCTAATAAACCTAGGCAATCTTCATGGGTTAGAGTCTCAAATGCAATTAATTAATTAATTAAGGTAATAATTTGCTTTAACTGAATTAATTAGGATCCTTAGAAAATAAAATAAGGGCAAAAAGGTGATGGAAATCAAACAAGAGAAAAAAGGCAATGGAAGAAAGATCGAGGGCAAACAAAATGAAACCGAAAACAAGTAGAGCTAAAAGAAAGAACCAAAGAAGGTGACTTGCAAGGAAAAAGAGAAGTAAGCAAAAAGATGGTAAAAAAAGAAGTGGGATGAAAGACCAAATTGTCTTCGCAGTAACTGATCACTTTCACAAGTACAAAGAATCGATATAGTAATAATTCACTTTGTTATTTATAAAAATAAATAATAGTTTAAGTAGAGATTTAATATTTAATTAAATAATATAAATAAATAAAAATAATAAAAAGCAATGAACCAACTAATCAAACAAACGTTAGAGATCAAGATTCACCTGCAAGGATAATTACTCTAATTTATTTAATTATCTTTTCTTTATTTATAGTGATAATCATTCATAAAGTGTTTTAATTACTTTTCAATATATTATGATGTATTTAATTGGAGTTAAATTTAGCTCCCACTAAATTTTACTTTCTAAATAAACTATAAAACTATAATTTAAGTCACCACAAATCTTTAAATTATTCATAATTTAGTTACATGCGTCTTTATCTTTAAGTTTAGGAAAACATTTTACCCTCTAGTTCATTAAGCTACCCACAAACAACATATAAAATGGCCATCTACATAAAAAGTAATTGAAATGAGAGAAATAAATATAAATAGAAACATTAAAATCTCATAGACAATAAACTAAATTCAATAGGAAAAATAAAAGAGCAAAAACAATCTCAACCAAATTACTTCCTACCCTATCAGGAAGTTTAGAAACAACTTATAGAATCAATGCAAAATATTCCAACAGAAAGCATAAATGGAATAAGAATAATAAAGAAAAAAAAAACTCTCAATTTGAAAGAACTCATCCAGACTTCATGCTTTACCTTCTAGCTCTCCGATACAAAATTGGATTATTTAAATGAGGCTCTCCAATGTTTATTATATAGTTTTTGCACCGTAAAAACCTAAAAAGCCCATTAGCTCAAATCTCTTAGCCTTTCATTTTAATTATTGTAATTCAATATTAATTCTTCAGCAGCCACATGTTTTTGATTATTCGTCCACTTGCGACCTTTTCCTTTGTATTTTCATCCACGCACGATCAAAGCACATACCATCCCTTACATTTGCCCATGAGTAAATCATTTGCAATTTCATCCGCCCGCGGTCGAAGCACATACAAGCATTTTTAGCCTTCCTTCATTTTTGACCAATCGTGACTAAAGGCGTGATTGTTCATCCTTTGGTCTTTTCCGGCTCCCTTTCTCTGCAAAACACATAAAATACTCAGTAAGACAATTTATTCCTATTTTCCTTATATTATAAGTCATAATTAATTCAAATTGGAAAAGTAGTATATAAAGTTGACCTATCAATAACCAAAAGAAGAGGAGCAGGAAAAGGAACGCAAAAGATAAGACCATGCTAGAAGAAGAAGAAGAAGAAGAAGAAGGTGGCGATTGCAATGGCAATGAACAATGGACAATATTGGAGTGGCGCGTCGGCTAGGTTAAAGAGAGATAACTCTAAAGAAAAGAGAGACCACACTTTCATTCCATCCATACAAATATTGTTCATTACTTCATCATTTTGCATCGCAAGTTATTTTTGGAACAAAATTATATATAAGACGTTACTCAAAAAGCCAAATCTAAGGTGGGGTATAAGAAAATTTTGAACTTGACTTCTCTCTGCTGAATGCTGAGGGAAGCCTCCATCACACCTCTGAAACTATATTTAAAAATTTATTTTTATGTTTATTAAAATAAAAATTATATTATTAACAAATTAATAAAGCTATTAACTCGTTTGGATAGTCCATATCTAATTTGAATATTCTAAATTTATAAAAAAAATTGCATTGTCCAATATATATCTAGAGAGTTAATTAATAAAAATTATAAAATATTAATATTAATGTGAATTGTTGATATTAAATATGAACCATACAGACTAATAACCACATTTATTAATTTTTTTACAATTTATATAATTTTTTTATTTTGATGAATATAAAATAAAAATAAAAAACATTAAATCTAGGTTATTTATATTTAATTTGGATGGTTTAAATGAAAGGTGTGGAAGAAACTGTGTTTAAAAATTTTAGTGTTATCTACAATGCTTACTGTTTAGTGCTTAACATGTGACGATTGAGGTTTTAAAAACCCAACTGATTATTGAACTGGGCTAGACACCTGTTCAAAGTTTAATGGTTGGACGGTGATCGGACCAACGATTATTAAATTAATATATTTTAATTATATATCAATCATTTTAGATAAAAAAATACGAACAAAAAATTGATAAAAATGGATCCCAAATAAAAATGATAATAAAATTAATTAATCAATGCAGCAGCGGGTAAATATAAAACATAAAAATTGGTATAAAATCAAGTATAAAAAATAAAACATAATTAATAAATTTCAAGTAGTATTAAAGTTAAAAATGAATTGATAGATTCAAATAATAAAAATAAAGATATAACCTGATAAAAATCGTGAATAAAAATTTTATAATTTAAAAGTTTGCAAATTAGTAAATAATAATATAATTAAAAAATAATATCATACCAAAATTAAACTGCATTTAGAAAAATATGGGATAAGCATGCTTTATTTTAAATAGGAATAGGAGTACAATTTTAGTTTGAGGAATAGCCATCAAGTAGCATGGGTTATTGAGACTTCACGTGATGCTTTCGTGTGGCAGTGGTGAAAGAGTATATTAGCAAAACAAATGTCATTATCGTCTGCGGCGTTCTTCCTCCTTCATCCCCATGATCCATATCTGTTCAGTTCGGTCTTTGCCGCCATGGATATAGGTTCGTAAGGTTCGATTTTATTTCAATAAAATGGTTTAATGATATATTTGATAATTTTGTTACTCGAAAAACACGCTGAAGGTGATGATATGACATCATTTAATCTCTTTCATTATCATATTTTCATCTTCTCTCGCATCTCGTTCAGATCTTGAACTGGTTAGCCTTTTAAACTGTTCAGTTTTCGCCGTTTATTGACCGGTTTACCGGTTCAATTCCCTAACAGTTTTACAGTATCAAGACCCGGACTGGTGACCGGTTTCCAATTAAACCAGCCGCTCCGGTTTTTACTACAAATCTGGTCCGTCCAATCTTCAAACCCTCCATTCGATTAACGCATTTAAGATTCAGGGGATATCTAAAAGGCAGTAAATAATAAAATGAATAAATTTCCCATGAATAAGAATGTGGCAGCCGGTGTAAGGAATGATCATGAAGTATGGGTTTCTTATTAGTGAATGAAAATGTTGACTCGAAGATCCTGCGCGTCTCCCTCTCAATCATCCTCCGACTCACTCCCTCCATATCTACTTTTCATGCTGCTTAATTGTTACCCTTTACCAATGTCTAATTTAACACACCAGCAACTCATTCCAATGGTTTCCCTCAACAGTACCAACACCGACATTCCATTGCTGTGGAAACTTAGAAACCATCACTTCGACGTGCACAGAATACAAATTACAGACGACACAAAAAATCTAAATTTAGAGCCTTCTTGCTCTAAACCTCAAACCACCTCCAAGTTATACAATTTTTTTCTTGTAAATCAAATTTCAACTCCTCCAAAGTTGACACGACACTCTGAAAAATATTGTAAATGAAAAAAATTTAAACCAAACCAAAAAGATTAATTGACATCAACCAATTGTAATTAAAACGAAAACTTCCAGATCTTGATTCGGAGGTCCACCTTACAGACGGAGTCCGTCACCGAAGCCACCGACGGAGTCTTCCCGGCGGGCACCTTCCCGTTGATTCCGTCGCACGTCACTCTGATTCCCACCCTCTTGCTCTTTAGCCACTCCATCTTCAGCTTCACTTTGGTGTCCATCTGAATCACCACCGGAAACCCGTTCGACTTCTTCAGACCCGATCTCAGCGAAGTCAGCGAATCAGTATCCAGATCGCGAGAATCCGACAGCACCGCTCGCAGGCTGCTCTGATTGTTCTTGTCGGACGTGAACGCCGGGATGGATCCGTTCCCGATAGGCACGGAATCGTAGAATGCGGTGACGGTGAACGGTTCGTAGGAGAAAACGAGGTGGTTGTTCGGGTTATTGGCAATGAGGGTGAGATTGAGAAGAGAGGAGAGGTGAGAGGAGGAATCGGTGGATGTAGCGAGCTTCATCCTCGCAATGCGGAGGTTGGTGATAGAGAACTGGGGTCGGTGGGGACGATAGAGAACGTAGAGTACAGCGCCAACAATGGCGGCGAGCAGAACAACAGCCAGGAGAACGATGACGCTCCAGAAGCAGCAGCAGCAGCAGCCGCTACGGCCGGAGCGTCGGCGACGGTTGTACTGGGAAGGTCGGAACATTGGGCGGGTGGGGTTGTAAAGCTGAGACTTGGCGGGGGCAGGATTGGAGGAGGTGGCGCCATTAGCACCGGCGACGGCGGGTTTGGAAGATGGATGGACTCGGTCTGTCATATTGGGATGCGCCGAAGAGAATGAGGAATGAGAAGTGTTGAGTGTGAGGACAGGAGGGTGGTGGTGGAGGCGAAGAAAAGAAGCTTTGCAGAAGAAAAAGAGGGAGTTGGATTGGTACTGAAGACCAGAAGGGATGCTTCCACACCACCACACTAATATCGATTTTGATTTGATTTGATTTATTTCTATATTTGTTGCGAGGAGGGGTTTTTCTCTGTTCAGTTAAAACTTGAATGCCAAGCATTGGGTAATGGCATATTGGCATGTATGTCCTGTGATTTCTTTTTTTATTTTTAATTTTTTTAAGTTTTTCCCTTTCCCTTCCAGAAGAAAAAGAACGTGGGATTGAGTGAATTCTCAGGAACACCGAAGGTCCCCCTTGTGCTCTTCCGTCCTTTTTCCTTTTCATTAATTTCTATCCTTAGCTTTCTTTCACTCCTCTTGTTATTAATATATGTTATTGCAACATTGCATATATTTCTCCAGCATTAACAGCTGGGCAGACAAATGACCTTCATGCTTATTATAGTTGACATGTCACATTGCTGCCTTCAGTTGACTTGACGCCTCACTCAATTTGTGATCCTAAGTGTTAAATTTCGAGTGGTCAAATGCAACTTATCATTGATTTGGCATGCACGATAAACTTAATTGCGTAATTATTATCATTGTTTCTTTTACGTAACTCCAAAGATATAGCAACATAAAATTTATATAATAAGTGGTTCCTGTAATTTGTCGGCCTTGGAGGATGCGGGGAAGACGTGGAGCTATGGAAGTAATACTCAAAGCGCATAGCCGTATTTGATTAGCGAGGCTCCGCGAGGTTGTATAAACTTATGGAGGACAAGCAGAGGTTTAATTTGATGGCTTTCTGTTTGTCTTCTCGTAGGTGGACTGTTGTTTCTCCTTTTTATCAAGCTTTGGGCTTCCCTGTATAATTAAATAAAGTAAATCTAGTCAGAGTTTAATTTGTTTTAGTCCAAATTAAAATATAAAATCTCAATCAACTTTGTCTTCTAAATTTATTTTTTTTTTCCAAACTATTTCTGTTCATTTCACATGTTAAAGTGGTAATAGGAGTAGTTTTCAATGTAAATAATTAAAAGAGGTATTAAAAAAAACAGCAATATACATTTTTTTACAAATAACTAAATTCATTAATTTCCTTGACATCTTTAAATTGATTATATAAGTTCTTCATTTAGTGCAAGAAGAAGTGAATAATTAAGCATATAAAGTTTTCTCCCTTTTGTTATAGTCTAGGAGATCATCGACATATTATTGAACATGTTCTTATATTATATACTCTCTCCTATCATAGATATAGGAGTTTGATAACTAATTCACACAATTTTTTTTAAATGATTAAGTTGGTTATTTGTAAAAAAAATATGTACAGTATTAGTTATCCTAAAATATCCCTCCTTCTAAAAGTATAATTATACACATTAACATGTACAACAAATTAAATATGGATAGTTATTAGGGGTCTCACTACTCTCCCTGGATGTTCACTTTTTCGCTTGCATCCTGGATTAGAAACGGTGAGTTCTGACGAAATATGAATTTTGAAGCATTCATGTTCAAGCTATTGAGACTTGGTTTATTTTAATCATTTAAATGTGATGAATTATTCCAGAATTCCAGTAATTAAAATGTCAGAATTAACATCATTAAATATTTAAAGTTTGAGCGATACAAAAATAGTATCAAAATACATAGCAGTATTATCATATTTGGAAAGGAAACAAGTTGTGGGTAACCGGTGAATTGCTTGAAATGTAAGGAGCCCTTAAAACCATAGGGAATAACCATTGTAGCGGCTGAATGCGGATGATTCCTTCAAGTCTCGGTAACATGCAAGTTGAATCTCAAATATTTCATGGGGAAAATATCAACTGACGACTTTTGAATGAGATTTATATCAATAAAAAATTAATAAATTTTAAAATTTTATTACAATCCTTTGATCTTTGATGAAATTAATTTTTTTATATGAAATGATTGAATTGTCTCTAAAATTTAAAATAAAAAGGTCACCCCTACTATCATTGGAAATGGTCATTGAATTACTTCCAATCTATGAGGTCACTAGAGCCATCAGTCGGTGGCTGGTCACCGAAGCTCTAATGCCGGTGACACTTTATTCAAGGATAATAATTGGTAAAAGTGATTAAGAAAGGATTTGACCTCATGATCCTTTAACCATCTAAAAAGTTTGGTAAAAAAAAATACATGACAAGAAAAATATAAATAGTAACCCAAGGTTTAAACCACTTCCATATCATAACATAACAGCATATTGTTAACTCTTGAACAAAACTTATTATTTTACTAATGTTAATTACTTATTAATTTAATATGAACAATTATAAATTGAGAACTTTAAAGTTTCATGCATTTTATCTGTTAAAATTTTAAATGTAGTGTTGTTAATCATGAATAAATTATTATTAAAATTTGAATAGATACTTGTTAATGAATGACGAACATGCACAATTAAACACATCTTAACAATTTTTTTAACTTGTAAAAACTTATTATTTGTGCGATAATTGTGAAAATAGGTTGAGATGTAAAAAAAAATGTTGATATGGTTATTATAAAATTGTGAAATTGTGAATATGCATTTGAAATTATTTTTGCCAAAACTCGATATATATGAATGACTAATATGCACAATTAAGTACATCCTATCAATTTTTAACTTGTAAAAACTTAAATGGATTATTATTAATTTCAAATGAGTTGTTGTTAAAATTTAAATGGATACCTGTTAATGAAGGACAAACACTTGTAAAATTATACCCATTGCATATGTTTTTATCAATGTTCTTAGAATTGGATCGAATATTGAATTAGAAAGGACAATAGTTCACGGTTTGTAGAGTAGAACTTGGTTGGACCAATAGTCAAACCAATAACATAATAATAAATAAACATAATATTAAATGTATATATAAAATATATTCAAGAAAAAAATATATAATATGTTAATAAAATGATATAACATTATTGTAAATTAATAATATTATAAACTATTATTTTATAACTTGTCAAATATATGTAAATTTTAATTAAATTAGATATAAGTAGACTTAAAAGTATTTGTATTGGCATTTATTATTGTCAATATTTTTATAAAAAAATCTCAAATTATATTTTATACAGTGAAGTATTCAAAAATAAAGTTAGATTTTCATATGACCTAATTTTTGAAATTTTTTTGTTTTTTAAACTTTTTAATATTATATTTAAAATCATCTAGTTTTCTAAAAACCGCTCCGATTTTTTGTTTAACTTCGATTTCCAACTCAATAACGACCCAACTCCTGTTTAATCTAGTTCAATCATAAAAATAATTTTTTAGTCCAAACTGAGCTGTTAATGATTTTTAAATCATTGATTTTTATAGCTTTTTAAAGGCCAAATAGATTGTTGTTAGCTTTGAATAAATTATTGTTAAAATTTAAATAAATATTTTTTTATAATGAACTAATATGTAAAATTCTACATATCCTATCTTTTTTTTTTAATTTATTAAAACTCAAATGAATTGTTATTAATTACAAAAGCATTGCTGTCAAAATCCAAATAAACATTTATTGATAAATGATTAATATATATATAATTAGTGATATCATATTTATTTTTTTAACCTGTTAAAGTTCAAATGAATTCTTATTAATTTTAAATGTATTGTTATCAAAATTTAAACAGAGACTTGATAAGTAAGGCTTTATTAGCTGAATGCTTATGACTCCTTTAAGTCCATGAATCTCAAATATTAAAATTTACAAAGGGGCTTAGGCTGAAAGAAATTAGATGAGTCCATTGGCACCGCTTCTGTAGATCTCTGTAGTCGAATCTGCCGTCTCACCCACCCCAAAACAGTAAGTACAAAGTGATGCTAATAAGTAATGATAGTATAGTAGTTGGCAATGCCAATGCATCTGCGGGGGATGCTCCACACATGACTGTGAAAATATAAGCACCCGCAATTGACGTTCGCATCTCTCTCTCTCTCTCTCTCTCTCTCTCTCATTTTGTTTACGTGAGTTATGAGCCCTTTGTAATTACTTTGTTGGACCTACACTGAAGTTAAGACAGTACATATATGAACGTAAAATCTTCTTTAACTGCTCTGCACGATACTAGCAAGTCCCTACTCACAGCTGACATGGATAGCAAACGCCAATAAGGATCAATAAATGTGTCCAATGCTTTCGTGTTGATGGGGTAGGAGCAAATGATCCACACAACACCCTTCATTATTTCCATTGATGAGTGTTGAATTAAATAATAACATAGGAGCACGAGAGCCCATATGCCTCTGCAGTTGGATCACTCGCAAACTTCAACATTGGAAATTTTCGCTTTGAATTTACAAATCAATGTTTTCTTTGAAACCCAGCGGATATCCTCACGCACAGAGCAGTCCAGAAATCATTTCCAGGACTCGTACTACCATTCTCGCTTTCATAAATCTTTTCTTGTTCTCCCAATCCAGCTTCGCGGCAAAGAGATGGCAAGCATCCTTAGCATCCCATTACCATGGCTAGAGAAAGAATATTCAAATGGAATATCATTTTTCCATGCATCATTCTCAATCACGCAAAGCAACCAGCACACAGAATTCAACAAGAAACTCGGCTACTATTTTGGCGTCTTGAAGCATTCATAGGGAAAACAAGCTTTACAGCAGCTCTAGAAACTAAAATTTGAATTCAGTGATTGTATGTAGTACAAGTATTGAATACTTGTACCATCTAAACCATTAAAATTTATATTAATAATTATAAATTTATACTTCATTTAAAATTAATGAATAAATAAGTATATCAGAACCGTTGATATGAATTTCAACAATTAAAATGTTACAGGCATCCAACGTCAATGTTAAATACAATCATTGAGTTCAAACTACAAGAAACTGGGGCCAAAAAACTTGAAAAGCCACGGAAATGATGACCAAAGCAACCTGAATGAGTTTTTTAAAAAACAAAAAAACAACCCGACCCAAATTAAATGGCCCATTATCGGATTCACAAACACGTCGCACGGACCCCCCCCCCCCCGCCTCCATCAATTATTGATTTCCAAACTAAATACAGTGACACAACCTGAAGGAGAATATTGTTGCAGCATGTGCCAAAGAGGCACATACATGGACTAAGCCTTGGCATTGGTTTTCAGGATCAACAGGTATGAATATTTTGCATCTCCTGAGCTGTTTGCCCCGTTACGGCCTGCAGTGAATAATATGATATCATGGTCGAATGCTTTCAATTACAAGCATCACAATAAAATAATGAACGAAAGGAGGGTAACTCGACGAGGAAAAGACAAATCAAAGATCCTCACGTGGGTTACAGCGAGTCAGCGAATACCCAAAATGTTTATATTAATTCTTAAATAAGCCCTGCTGTTTCTTTTTCTTTTCTATTTATTTTTTTTCTTTTGGAGGGGCCAGACCGCCCAGAAGAGAAGATAGACACTGGGACTCCGCCGCTGTTCCTGTCACACAAGAGACCATTTCTCCATTAATGCTCCGATCTGAATAATAACCCATACAAAAAAGTCTCCATAGGCTTCCCCACCACGTGCCTCTTCTCCACACGACACCGCTTCCACCGGACCATTCTCAGTTTTAACCTATAAAGGATGCTCTTCCTCTCTATCCTCTCAAACTTAAATTATAAAATAATTTAAAATAAAATTACACAAATTAATAAAATACAATATTATTACTGTATAAATTTATTTTTTAAAATAAAATTATAAACTTCTAAAAATATTCTCATATACTTAAATATTACATTATAATATTATTTTAATTTTAAAAAAATTATTTTATATTTTGGGATCAAGATGGAAGGAGCACCTTTTAAACTACACTGAATATTCCCCTTACTTTAAACAGATAGTTTTAACAAATATTCACCATAAATCATTTACGCCGATAAAATCCCAACTCGAAACGCCTCAGTGATGTTCATTGGTCCGGAAAAGGAACTAGTATGTTACCAGAAACGCCCTACTTAAGCTAAAAAAGGACCGAAGCACATCAATGATTTGCCAACAATGGAGTGACAATAAGGGCCATATATGTCAGCATATTAAGCTCCAACACCCCCAGGCATCGCAGAACTAGCTTCATTTTAGCACAAAATCAGGAAATCAATGAAACCCTAGTTTTACAGGACCAAATCCTCACATAATGATGAAAATTATAACACAAAACGCCCCCAAAAAATCCAATTCCACGCACGTTAGTTTCCGCTCCCTCTCTGGATTACTTCCTTGTACCTCATTATGGAATCTAGCCTCTGCAGCTTCAGCTGCTGCTTGAACTTGTTGATGAAATCGTCCGCCTTTGCGTCCACCTCGTCGTCTGCCTCCGACTCACTCGCCTTCGCTTCTCTCATCGTCGCCGGCCGCCGATTCTCAACAATGTCTTCTTCCCTAAAATGCCCGAACGCCGATTTTGTGGTCGCCGACTTCTTCATCTTCCTTGGGAGCTTTTCCGGCACGTCGCCAGAAGCCGGCTTCGTGTCCGACTTGGTCCTGCTCACATGAACCCCTTGTAACTCGCTGTAAATTTCGTCGAGAGACCGATCTGGTTCGGGATGCTGGATTTCCCCGACACCGTCCTCCTCTCCCCCCTCTCCATTGCTCTCCACCACCGGGGCACCGTCCAAATGGTGTCTCTCCGGTTCATGAGCATATTTGGGCAAGTCAAAATGGGGATCCGATTCACGAGTTGCGTACGAATGAGTGGCGTCGTGGGAAGAGAACCTGGAAGAAATAGGGTCCGTGGGGAAGTAGTCGTAAAGGTTGATGGACTTGAGCCTTTGAAGCATGGATGGGGATCTCGTAAGCGGAGGGTGTGGAGCTTCATGGGCGGGATGAAATTCGGAGGTATGGTGAGGGGATTCTTGGGATCGGTAAGAGTAGAAGTTGATGGATTTGAGTCTCTGCAAGACAGAGGGAGATCTGGGGAGTTGTTGAGGGTGATGGTCAGCGTGAGATTGGGGTTGGTCGTGGCGTTTGCCGTTGGCGAAGGTGGAAGTGATGAAGATGGTGCCGATCATGAGCTGGAGGAGGAGGAAGAAGACAGTGGGAGTGAACCAACTGTAGACGACAGCCCAGATTGAGGGAGTGGATGATACGGATGCCTCCAACATGGCTCTTGTGGGTGTGGGAGACGACAGCCAACGGGGAGAGAGAGTGCGCGCGCGCGCTCTGTGCTCTTAAGGGAGATGCGGGAGTGAGCAGTGAAATGAGAGGTTGATTTGGGGTAGAATTGGGAAATAGATTAAGGTGGGACGACCCGTAGATTTTGGAACGGTGAGGAAAGTGGAATCTGGAGAAACACGTGGCGACATGCCGGGGGTCTCTCACAAAGCGAGGTGTTTTCTATTTTTTGGTAGACAAATGGGGCCGGAATCCAAGGAACAACATGTAAACTACTACAACCCTCGACATCCTTAATTGGGCTGGCAGATCAGCCCAGACATGGAAATCAACCTTCCATCTTCAAACCCAGATCTGCCAACCTGTCAAGCATGAGCCTCTCTCCGGTCTCCATATAGGTATCAACTGTTACAGCGCTGACCTTCCATCCTCAATATCACTCAAATGAGGATCCGGATCCTCTCAGACTCCTCTCCCTTAGCGTCCTTCAACGGCGGCAAATCTCCACCTTCAATGCATATCTAATAGCTCATATCTTATCACATCATCTCATGTTAAAATAATTTAATTAAAAATAATTTTTTACACCTTATTCCAATACCTTTTATATATATATATATATATTTTTAAGATAATAATTCAAATTAATTTTTTTATTTTCAAAACTTGTCCTAAAAAATTACTCTAAAAAATTTTTTAAAATAATTTTTTGTTAAATGGATTTGACTAAAGTTTGAATAGCTCAGACTGTGAGTTTTTACAAATAAATTTTTGTTAAATAGATCTGATCAAAGTTTGAATAAACTAGATAGTTTGGCTTATATAAACTCTAGTCAGATTTATTTAATAAACATTTATTTTAAAAAATATTTGCAAACTAATTTTTTAGGATAAATTTTGAAAATAAAAAAATAAAAATTAATTTGAATCATTATCCTAAATATATACTCCTTTTGTTAAAAAATGCATGGTATTTTTAATTGAATTTTACTCCCCAATAAAGTAATTACTTATTTTAAACTAACACTATCTTTTCATATTTATTTAAATTAAAAACCTTATAATAAATATAAAATTATTATCACTAAGGGCACTTTTAAAAAAAAGACAATGATTGCGTCTCGATTGATTAAAAATATCTTATTTTTTAATGAAGAAAATATATATATATATATATGGGGTAGTGAAATAAGATGTTAAAAAATTATTTTTAAAAATTAAATTATTTTAATATGGGATGGTGTGGCAAGATATGAGGCATTGGATACGAATTGAAGGGTGGAGATTGTTGCCGCCGAGGGACTCTGAGGGAGAGAAATCTGAGAGGAACTGGTTCCCTCAAATAAAGAGAGAGAGAGAGAGAGAGAGAGAGTCATCAGTCGTACAACCACAACTTTTCCATGTAGAATTAACCACCCTTCTTTTCTTTTGTTGTTTTTACTATCCATCTAAACACTGAGCGAAATATATATATATATATATATTTTTTTTTTTTTTTCCTTTGATCTTTCATCCCTTTTCTCCAGAGACGTATCCCCCTTAGACAAATAGGGGGCAGTTGTTCCATTGGAGAAACGATACCTAAATTTAGTTAAAATTACAATTGCTCTCATGCAAAATTAATTGCCTCGCGTCCTTTTCAAAATTACCAAGCATACATGTTTAAAAATATTGTTTATTCTTGTATAAAATTTTGTCTCTTTTAATAAATTTGCCCGCGTCACTCTCTGTTTTTGATCAGATCATTCAAACAAAAGCATTAACGTAGTCCTCAAGATTTATTTTGTTTGCAAAATTATTCCTTCATACGAGAAGTGAGTTGTAATTCTTTTTTATTGGGCAAAAAATAGTGATTGCCGAATTGAGGTGGCATGAGAGTCCCCATGTTCCCATTAGCAAAAGCGCGAGAAATCAGGGGAAGAAGCTCGTCAAGTCCGCTGCGGCACATGAGCAGTAGCCTCAGTTGCTTTCAAGCTTTCAGCCACTCCGGTTTCTCTTGGAGTTTTATCCTTTAAATATTAAAAAAAAGCTGTCAATGTGCTTTTAAAAAAATCACTGTACTCCTTCACATATATACCTGTCTATTTAAAAATATAAAATATTTTTAATTAAATTTTATACTTAATAAAATGACTATCTATTTTTAAATTTATCTGTGAGTGATGGAAGCCGAGAAGAAGCTAATGCAAAGTCGCAAAAGGAGAGAAGAAAGGAACTGCTCCATTAATTATATTTAAGTCATTTTGAAGATATAATTTCACAGACCACATCTCCCAGTGTTTTAACTTTTACATCTCCTAAAGTGAATTTCACATCACCCATGTGACCATATCTGCCATGCTAGTGCCGATTGCCGGTTTTTCTTTTTCATGTAAACTGGATTTAAAAATGTCATTTATTTGTCGTTGCTTAATTTAATTTTTTTTATTTTTATTGTTATTCTGTTTTGAGAGAATTACTATTAGATCCTACATAAAAAAATTAATTATTATAAAATTTATTGATAATGAAATTAAATTGTATTGATAACTAGTTATATTATCAATGCTGTTTAATTTAATTATCAGTGAATATTACAGTAATTAATTTTTTTATAATTGTCAATGCCATTTAATTTAAATATTAATGAATTTTATAATAATTAATTTTTTTATGTGGGATTTTAATATAATTATCCTTTTTTATATATTAAGATGGGAACCAATATCTTCTCCAGTTCAATATTTCGTTTCGATTTTAAAAACGTTGCTCCTCACGCCCAGAACCAAGGGAAAAAAGAAAAAAGAAAAAAACATCCATCTTCTTTTGCTTTGTTTTACCTTTGATGACTTCAATCTATCTGCTCTTCTTCTGTATCTTATCACCGGCATATTCAAGCTATCTGGCTTATATATTTTTTTCGCCTCGTAATTAAATGTGTCTTCGATCTCAGATCAGAAGATGAAAAATATGATTTCAATGGTCTAAATTGTAAAATGAGTTACAAGAAAATATGTCTGGGAGACCAGCCAATTAAAAATAAGGACTACATTATGCAACGGGATTGGTCTAGGTGGGAGTCCACGGCGGATATTTAGTTTGTTTTGTCTTTGTGGATGCCTCTTTTTTATCAAAAAATAAATAAATAAATAAAGACTACAAAATTACGAGTTATAATATTCATGATTTTACTTCTTAACACCGTGAGTGCTTTACGGACAAGGGTAATAATCAGTAACGTGATTGATTTACCATCCCAAAATGTGACACTAATTGCCATACTAACCAGCTTTTTCCTATTCGTTCATCTTTTAATGTCCCATTATTAATTATGTCCTTAATAACTATTTTTCCTTCGAGTAAAACATATTGACATTATCTTCATTTTATCTTAATTGCTGATATCTCTCTTCTATTTTAAAAACCTATATAAACATCCCATAAAATTAATAATCAAACACAAACCACCCATTTATAAAATTTTATTTTTATCCATCCAACTGTTAGTTGAATATTAAATCATACTTAATAGATGAAAATGCCTCTACTTAAACATAAATTACTAATACAAAATAGTTTTTTTACACCCTCATATTTACACCAATTTATGCACAAACAATATAACAATAGGAGGTGATGACGTATTTATAAATAAATAGGAGGATGTGATAATATCTATACTGGCTCCTTGCATAACAAGTGTCTACACAATTGAAGTAGATAATAGAGTCTGACTTTTTAAAATAAATTAATTTTAATGTATTTTAATCAATGTAGTTATATTTATCCCGTCTCACTGAAATACTTGGGCACCATGTTTGTGGATTTTAGAATCACTTGAAATCGTATTTTTATGTGCCAACAGTCCAATATTTGTAACTGGCGGGATTTTGATATTTTCATTCTATTGTGGCCTTCTATTGAGCTTGGAGCTGATCCCTTTGTACAGATTGAGCTTTACTCTTCAATTACTCAGCCCAAATGACTTTGTGACCTATTGAGTGACGTTTCATATTTTAACTCAAACACATTGAAAATGAATCTATATAAATTCTAGAATCTTGCTACCATTTAGGAACTGATTATGACAAAAAAATTGACAATGCTTAAATGATGTTAAATCTTTTGAGAGCAACTTGAAAATTGAAATAAAAACAAAAAGACTTTTACACTTTCATCATCATTAATAGTTCTTGACATCTAAGTGCAATTTGTGGTGTCCTTGAAAATAGGTTTGATTGATATTTATACTAAAGACTTTGGATAATGGATGTTGCCAGAGTTCATAATTTGAATCCCTACCTTTTTTTTCTTAAAAAAAATATAATTTGAACTCTCTTGTTCTTTAGATTTTCTGACTTGGTACTTATGATAAATGAATTTTGTGGATGGCAGGTAATTTAAATATATTATTATTTAAATAAGGGCTTTTTCCTATCCAAATATAAAAAATGTCATATATCTACACTAGTTATGGATCATAACCGGTGTAAATAAACATTTTTTTAAAAAAATAAATATCATTCCTTGACTATTATCTACATCAATTAACCAACCAATGTAGACATGATTAATATCTATACCTTATTGTATACTTGGTATGGATATGGACAAAGTTTCTACACCAATCTGATCTATACCAGCTATAAAACTAGTGTAAATACTTAATTTTAACAAGTATAAATATCTACTTTTGTATTAGTGAATGTTATCTAAAAATCTGTTAAAATACCAAATTAAAGAAATAAATGCATTTTTTTACATTGTTATTCATAATTTTTTAGTTTTGTAAAATTATTATTTATAAATTTTTTTAGAAAAATACATAAGTTTGATAAAATAATATTTCAAACACACATATAAAGAACTTAATGAAATAGGGATTTAATATAATAAGAGATAAATTAGTTAATATAATTTATATTTTTCTTCAAATTTTATTAATTTCAAATCAAATAATATTTTTAAAATTTTTATTTAAATATTTTTATTTAAATTTCAAATCAGATATTGTAGTAGGTTGTTATATGTGTATAGCAACCACATTTGATAGTCTCCACCATTTGCTATGAGACCATTACCTATCTCCCAAGAAAG